TTTTTTTTTTTTTTTTTTTTTTTTTTTTTTTTTTTTCAAAGTGCATCAGCCTTGAGATATCATCGAACTGACCGGCCCTAGGTAATTCAGACTTGGTACTTGTAGTATTTTACTCATCTGCTTCTTATGGGGTTCGAACTCACGTCTATATTTCAACAGTTCAGGGTGTATCAACTGAGCCAGGCCAGTTGGTATTGAGCCATTCCTCGATCTATGCATGCCATCCTTATGCAGGGACCATGCTAACAGTATAAAAGTGAACAAGCCATCCATCGAGGGAAAGAAAAATGGCCGCTGTTTCAAAGACCTGCTGTTTTCTGTACTTGCTGTCAGATGACTCAGATGTATTGTACGCCTCTGTGGGATTGTTTGGAACTGTGACGATCATGTCTTTGTGGGACAGGTTTGTTTGTCGTGAACTTCTCTGTGGTGTGAAAGGTGACTGGCTTGTCATGAAATCATACAACTTGGTTTGTCTTTTTGAGGGGTTGCCTTCCGAATGTTTTGGTTTGCAGCTACCGGACCATAATGGCTGCCGCCCCCAGCCAAAAAGAAGAAAAACGGTTCCCGCGCCGGTTCATTTTCCTTTTGGCCTGCAGCGCTTGGGAGGCATGTAAAGAAGCAGCCTCGGATCGTGGGAGATGATCGGCAGCTATGGTGTCCGATCTTTGTCCGACAGCACTCTGATCCGTTATGAAATATTCGGGTCATAACATTTCATGGCAACACATCCCTGCAAAACTTGGGGGTTTCTCATAATCTCACTACTGATGAAAGAGCTTTACGAGATAAATCTCCTTCTTCCCTCACGTGATATTGCTGGGTCAGGCTTTCGCCCATTGTCCAAGATACCCCACCGCTGCCTCCCATAGGAGTCTGGGCCGTGTCTCAGTCTCAGGATCCCATTGCCCTACCATCAGTCGGTACCTGTTAAACTACAAATACCTTTCCCAGCTATTGATGCCGACCCTAAAATCGTCCTGTGTGCCAAAAAAAAACGAGCTGGTGCGGGCCTCATTTTGCCGGCGCCGCGGCTGCCATTTCGGACGGGTACCCGAACCTCCGAAAGATGCGGTCGCTTGCCACTGCGTATTTGTTTTCAAGCGGGGAAAGGTACTGGTGTGGTTTACCACAAGTACCTTTCCCAGCTATCGGTGCCGACCCTAAAATCGCCCTGTGCGCCAAAAAAAAACGAGCCGGTGCGGGCCTCATTTTGCTGGCGCCGCGGCTGCCATTTCGGACGGGTACCCGAACCCCCGAAAGGTGCGGTTGCTTGCCACTGCGTATTTGTTTTCAAGTGGGGAAAGGTACTGGTGGTTTAAGAAAGCTTTGCGTGTTGAAGTTCTCCACTCGCAGAGTGGCTGACTGTTGACTTTCCTAGGGCCTATCTTGACCTCTAGAGGGCCTGGGTACCTCGTTTTGACCGTTGACCCCAGGGGTATCGAGGAAGGACTTTGTGAGCCTCTCTAGAGGCTTACCAACATAAGGACTTCGTGGAGCCTCTCGAGTGGCTGTAGCACTGACTTTTGAGCGTATAACTTTCTGGCACAGGAAAGCTATGACTGTAAGACTTGGGCAAACTGTTGGCATGAGAGATTCTGCACAATGTCTAGAGATACCCTTTGACGAGTGATGACATTCGCCCTTCGTGAAGGTTTATATATCATTGTCAAGGAGCAGCTGATGAGTGTCGATACATGTGCCATGGTTTTCTGTGTGCATTCTCACTGTCAATGCTTGCTCAAATGTGCAAGTGTGCATGTGCATGAAGCACGGAATTAGTGCGCCTTGGTTGGTGTGTATGGGAAAGAGAGATTCTCCAACGTCTTGCCTATGTTCTTTACTCTTTTGTCTTGTTAAGAGGAAACGTTATGGTTTGGGCTGTAATGTCTCGTTTGTTGGTTTTAGCTTTGATGATATTCTGGAGCTGAGTCAGAAGGGCAACAATGCAGCTGTCGACATGCTGGTAGGCGACATCTATGGTGACTTGGGCTACTCCAAGGTACATACAATACAAGATTTCTATTTCCACATTTATTTGGACGACCAGTCTCTCGTCCTCATGTGCCCAACCTGCTTTCATTACGTGCCCAAGAATTCCATGGCCTGGCAACTCACAGCTGGCGCCTCGTTTCTATGGCTACATTTACCTGTCCTCCGCCGAAAACGATTACAAACTCTTATGTAAATTCTCATTGGATGGGGAGTCACACCCTGGTAGTATTTCATGTGTTGTATTGTGGATAGTTGTACCAAGGATGGGTAGAAAATTACTAGAAATTGGCCTTTTTAAAGACTTGCATTCTGGTGGTAATCCTACGAATCCAGCTCTGGCGCAGCATGTTACTTGCTGACTTTGCTCCATGTCGCAGCTGGGAAATCCAGCGTCCGCTTTGGGTGTGTGTGTGCTTCACCCTTGAAGGCGCCTTGTGGAGATCCAGCATCTGCTTTGGGCGTGTGTGACAAAAAAAAACATAAGATCAATCTTTATCTGCTGAAATAGAGGATGCTTCGAAAAAACAAGGATTTGCGAGGAAAAAAAGAGACAATGTTCAGAAATTAGCTGAAGCAAATCGTAGCTTTTCTCATTATCGTTGGTGGTAAATAGAGAATGTACATATAGGCTGAGTGAGGACACCGCCCGGCCGGGCAGGCCCGGGGGGGCCGCCCAGGTAAACCGAGCGGGCCAGAAAAACGCCCAGAATTTTTTATTTTTTATTTTTTATTCTTTTTGGAACCGGGGTCGTTCTGCGCTCGGCAAGAGAACCCCGAATCTGCAATAAAATTTTGATTTTGGGGGAGGGGGAAGAGGGGGNGGGTGGTTGGGGGGGTGTCTGGGATGGATGATGGAGGATGGCGAGATGGGATTGAGGGAGGGAGAGATGGAGGATGGAGAAAGGCAGAGAGGAGTAGGGAAGGAGGGGAAGAAGAAGACGAGGAGAGAAGAAGACCTAATGAGGGGGAGGAAGAAGAAGAAGAAGAAGAAGAAAAAGATGAAGAAAGGTCGAGGAGAAAGATGAAAACGCAAGGGGGAGGAGGGGAAGAAGAAGAAGATGAAGAAAGGTCGAGGAGAAAAATGAAAACGCAAGGGGGAGGAGGGGAAGAAGAAGATGATGGAGAAAGAAGACGACCGAAGAAGGAGGGGGAGGAGGACGGCCTTCGTTTTTTTTTTTTTTTTCAGCCTAACGTGTCTCATGTGACCTACCGAATGCCGACGAACTGGAAGAAGAAGAAGAAGCAGCAGGAGGAGGAGGAGAAGAAGAAGAAGAAGAAGAAGAAGAAGAAGAAGAAGAAGAAGAGGAGGAGAAAGAAAACGAGTGGGGGAGAATGGGAAGACAAAGAAGAAGATGAAAGGTTATGGAGGAAGATGAAATCGCGAGGTGGACGAGGGGAGGAGGAGGAGGAGAGAAGAAGAAGAAGTAGAAGAAGATGAGCCGAGTAGGGGGGGGGGGTGTAGGTGGACGGCCTGTCGTATCTCATGTGACCTGCCGAATGATCTAGAAGAAGAAGAAGAAGAAGGGGAAGAAGTATCGCTGTGATAGGGTATGGCGGCGGCGGTAGGGTATGGAGAAAGGCAGGGAGGAGTAGGGAAGGAGGGGAAGAAGAAGACGAGGAGAGAAGAAGACCTTATTGAGGGGAGGAGAAGAAGAAGAAGAAGAAGAAGAAGAAGAAGAAGAAGAAGAGAGGTGAGGAGGGGAAGAAGAAGAAGATCAAGAAAGGTCGAGGGGGAAGATGAAAATGCGAGGGGGAGGAGGGGAAGAAGTGGAAGACGAGATGACGGCGAGGAGAAAAGAAGAAGGAGAAGAAGAAGATGAGCAAAATGGGGGAGGAGGACGGCCGTGTTTTTTTCTATTTTTTTGTAACCTGTCGTGTCTCATATCACCTACCGAATGTCGATGACGACGACGACGACGAAGAAGAAGAAGAAGAAGAAGAAGAAGAATGGCGCCTTCGTCGTCGGGGCCTTCGTCGTAGCAGCGGCAGCAGGACAGTCGGGGCCTTCGCCGTAGCAGCAGCGGCAGGACAGTCGGGGCCTTCGTCGGAGCAGCAGCAGCTGCACACCTGATGGCGATGGCGACGGGCGACGGGCGATGGCGCAGCAGCAGGAGGTCGACAACTGGGATCGTGCTGGGGGGCGAGTGGCAGACCGCCCCAGCCGATCGAAGGTTCGAATTGGGGAGAGGGAGTTTGGCGCCAAGATCCCACAGCTCTGTGGCCGTCGATCATGGAGGATCGACGTCCACAGAGCCGACGAAAAATTCCAAAAAACAAAGCAGGCCTACCGGGCCCGACGCTGAGGTTTTTTGGGCTGGTCGGACCTGGTAGGCCTGCAGGAGGTCAGCAGCAGCCGAAAGGGGGTCCGAAACCCCCCCGGCAGGTGACTGCGCTGGGGGGCCCCAGCCCCCAACCGGGTGCCCTGCCCGGCCAGGCCGCCCGGGACCTCCCCCGGGCCGGGGCCCGTCACCCGGGCGGCCTGGTTCGCCACTCAGCATATAGGCTGATATACCACCACCAAACAAGCCGGAGTACATGCAGCCTTTTAAGTTTTAACACCATGTGATGCACTCAGCAAACTCAACTCTTTGCACATGATCCTTTGTCATTATCTTTCTAACAACTGCATTTCAATTGTCAACCTTTCTTTTTTTTTCTTTTTTCTTTTTTTGATAAACTGGTCCTTGTGGTCCCGGCTCCTACCGTCTTCACCCGAATAGAACACCCGGTAATTATCGCCGTATCTGGGCTGAAAGTTGTGCCAAAAACAGCTATAATGATGGGGGGTTCTATTTGGGTTAAGACGGTCGTCCATTATGGGGAGTGTCAGTCAGGTTCCATTCCACCGGCGAGAGAGAAAACTGAATACAAGATATACAATATTATACACCCTGCGCACTTCCTTCCATCTTAGCTGAAGGACCCCTCACCAGCGTTGGTTGCTCTTTCATGGAGGATTAAACGTCAGATTGGTTGTCCCTCTTGTTCGTCTTTCTTTTTTTTGTTTTGTTGGATTATTTAATCCATTTCTGGATCTGTGTTTATCATTGTTGTGCAGGAGCCATTCTATTGTTACGCTTCTCTGCATGCTTCCAATTTGAACGGATGCCCGGAGTGATTAATGGATTTTTTTCAACTTCAACGCTGGGCTACCAGCCGTGCCCCCCGGGTTCCCAAAGCTGGCATGGGACCTTCCTGGGACGCCCGGCCGGGCAACTGGGCTGGGCGGGGTCCCGGCCCATATCCCGCCAAAAAGGAAAAAAGTTTTTGAAACAGAAGTATGTCGTGCAGAATAGCAAACCAAAGAACTTTTGGCTGAGGGTCACTTCGAAAGTCTTCACAGAATTTGAAATAAGAGTGAAATAATTTAAGGAAAATCATCTCACCGCCTTTAAAGGCCTTTCAACCCCTTTCAAGCCCCTTTAAGACCCTTACCCCCTCTCCCCCCCCACTCCTCCCTCCAAAATGATATGAACCAAATACAAAAATAAGACCGGATTTGGGTCCCTCTCGGATGGCGCAAAAATGCCCCATGATCAGGGGGAAAAAAAGAAAGTTTTTACTATTTTTTTTACGCGCCCGGGTGACCTGGGCAAGAGGGCCGAAGTCGCACTGGCCCGGCTGCCCGTCCGGGCAGCCGCGCCCGTGCGGGTCTGGTAGCCCAGCTTCAACGACCGGGCAGCCGGCCCCATGAAGGTCTGGTGGCCCAGCTTCAACGGACAAGTACTCAAATAGCTTCAATGCTAGGCTGTCAGTTGTCTGATCCCGAGACGTCTCCCCTGGAAAGGGGGGGAGTTGTCCAAGATCCCGAACAACGTTTTTTTTCGACGATTTAGAACGGGGGGGGGGGAGGGAAATTGGGGGTGTCCGCACAACTCGTGCAGACCCCCTAAAAACAATTTCAGGTCATTTGGAAAAAATACAAATAAAGATTGGCGAACAGGTTGGGGAGGGGTTGGGGTGGGTGGATGGTCTGCACGCGCACACACACACAGACACACACACACCGGCACACAACCACACTCACGCACACACAATTCAATCAAACGAATCGATTGAATTGATGCAATAGATTAGAATCCAATTGATTCCAATGGGTTGAATCGATTGGATCAATTCAAACTCGTTCTGTTGAATCAATACAATCGGTTCGATCCATTGGAATCGGGTGTGTTTATAAACAACACAGGGAAAGAGCCCACAGCCTGGGATTCCCATAGAAAAGAATGCCTATAATGTCCAGCTTTCCAAAGCCATGAAACAAAACAGAAAAACATAAAAAAAAAAACAAGTCAATAAGCAGCAAGGCAAGTACATCCAGGCAAACAAAATGGCAAGGCAAAGGTAAGACGCAACACGACACTTGGACGACAAACTGCAGCAAAGAACAAAGGGTGGAGGGCATGGGGGAGGCGGGCGGGAAGACAAACAGCACTAGGCAGAAGAACGAGGCGGCAACAACAAGTCAAGGAGTAGCACTAGGGTGGTGAAGCAACAGCACGGAACATAGGCTGGAGGGCGTGTTGAAGGCGGGTGGGCAGGCAAACAACACTAAGCAAGAAAAGAACGGACAGGAAGGCAAGAAGCAGCAAGGTGTCAGCGTACTATGCGTATATCATTGACGTGTTGCGGCCTGTGCAGGTGGGGCTTGCAGCAACAACCATCGCAAGCAGCTTTGGCAAGGTGGTTTCAGAGAACAAGGAGCTGCCAGATTACAATCCAGAGGACATTGCCCTGAGCCTTCTGCGTATGATCTCCTACAATATTGGCCAGGTTCGACAACTATCCCTGCTGCTTTTGCTGACACCTGAGCTTTCTGTTGTTGTCTGGAATCTGCTTAGTTCTAAGTTCTCACCGTTTTTTTTTTTTTTTTTTTTTTTTTTTAACAAAGCTTAGTTCTAACTTCTAACTTCTAAGTTCTAACTTGTCTATTTTCTTTCTTTCTTTCTAAGTTTCTATCCATCATTGTCGGGTTTCCACTAAACTGTGGCTTGGCGTCCACACTTTGCAAAAACAATACAGGACCCTGAGTCATACAAAACCCAATTGTCTCGGTATTTCTTACCGTGAAAACCAAGCCAAGTTTGATTCTCAGGGAAGTACTTATGCTTGATTCTTTGTCGACCCCAGGTAGGGCGTCTACGAAAGACCCATGCACGAAGTTGTTGAAATATCCGGAAATCCATACGGTGAAAGATTGCAAAGCATTCCGAAAACTTAAAGTAGTTTCCCCAACAAACGGTCGCCCCAAAAATAAGAAATAAAATAGACACAAGGTAAAATTGTATATCAAAACGACTTCTGGCATCATCAAAAGGGATAGGGGTCAAATGTGCCTGATCAAACTCGCATAGTCACTACGGGAGAAGGATTCCATTTAACTCGCATAGTCACTACGGGAGAAAGATTCCATTTCTTTGCACATGACGTTCTCCACCTTGGCAAAGGCTCGAAGAGCAGACGCTTCGCGTCTTCACGTCTGAATCCCACGGGCTCGTCAGCAGAGTTGCTCCGTCCAAGAAATCACAGGAAGATTTGCACAGACTTACTGAAGTGCCCTCCGAACCGTGCAAAATAGTTGCCCATTACACGGCTCACTAACTCTACTTGTTTCGAGTTCTCTTACCTATTTGGTGGGGTTCCACTGGATCAAGTGACCAGTTTACCCCGTGGACTTCCAGGCAACCTCAGGACACGAAGTGGGCGAAGCCGAAGGCGTGATTTCAGTGAGTCCACGCAAGAAGAGACATTGGATCTCGTACTCGGCTAATTATGTACTAGAAAAGGAGTTTCTGTTTTTCGACTAGTTTATTTTTGCATAGCCTTTTTATTTGTTTAGGCAAAATCATTTTTCGTTCACCAAACACTTCTACATTTTCTACTCCAAAATTGAATTCATCTCCAATTTTCCTTTTTTCTTCCAGTTCATGTTTCAAACAAATGAATTGAGTTTTCAGCCCTGTTTTGTATTATTCAAAAAAGAATAAAAAACATTGTTTTGAATAAAATTCAGAAGTTAAACTTCGAAATACTAAATAGACATAAATTGAATTATAAATAGTTCAGTTAGAGTATATTGAATAACAATATATACAAGAGATATCATGTAAAAAAGAGAATTGAGTCAATTCTCAATTCTCTTTTTTACATGATGATTTCATTGAATCACTAAGTCTATTTATTTGTTGTTAACTTTTTATTATTATAGTCTTTTGAGTAGAATTCAATTCCCTTTCAATAGGAGAGATGGAAGAGCCCCGGTCTTGAAAACCGGTGTAGTTCTACAAACTACCGAGGGTTCGAATCCCTCTCTCTCGGTTTTCAAAACCATAAAAAAAAGTTCAAAAAAAAATAATAATAGATTCTCAATGACATACTCTTCGCCTCAATCGATAGTATTCATTTCATTTGAGTAAGTGTTATTTACTATTATTTATTGTGGTTTCAATTAACACAATTGCGATGTCAACTCATCACATCCTGGAGCCGGAGAAAACGTAAGTAGGATATAGTATATAGCAAAATAGCATGGTTGTGCAAAGGAAAAGGGAAAAAAAAAAAAAAAAAAGCATGGTTATGCAGGACTCGAACCCGGACATGGCCAGAAGTCTGGCCGCGAGACTGAGGTCCGCACTCATGCGCAAGTTGGGAATGATCCAGAAATTGATCACGATAAATTGGCACATTGGCGTGAATTAATTTTTTTTCGTGGGCTAAACATGATGCGGACATTGCGGAGTAACCTTAAGCAAGATCTCTTATCATGGCCAAAAAAGAAGAAAGGGGTAAAAAGTGCACTAGCTCGGGGTATTTGGAATTCTGCGCACCCCCATGTACCCCCTCTTGGGTCTGGTAGGCCGGAGCTTTGTATTTTTCCCGTCCACCGGAAAAAATTAGAACGTAACCGGTGAAACTGGTGGTTTAAGGCCTTAAGTGGATTTTTGGTGCTAGAAGAGAAGAGGAAGAGAACAAATTGTGTACCAGATGTATGATAGTTGTGCATGCGTATCAAACTAACTGAGGCTTAAGTGACAACATACATCACATTCTGATAATACTCACTTATGCATACCGCCAACCGCCGACTGGTCAGCTTAGAATCTGATGCTTGTTTATAATTGAACCTACTCAGGGTTTCATACCTGCCAACCGCCGACCCTGACTGCCGACCGTTATGCAGCCGACCAGTAGGGCCGACTGGTTGGTGGTCTGTCGACCAGTCAGAAACAGCCAATCACTGATTTCTTTTCAGATCTGAGTTGGGGGCTGTACTGCGCTTGCTGAGTTCAGCCCAAATCCGCTGAGAAAATTTTGGGATGGGTAGGGGGAAGGGGGGGGGGGG